TCCTGAACTAAATCATTTACACCCACCACAATCCAAAATGACAAAAACACCCTCCTCGCCTTCTCACGCCACCACATCCACTACCGTCCCCCCAAAACACAGGAACAAAGCCACCACCACATGGACGTAATAAACCCAAAGCCCAAGGGCAAAATCGGAAGAAGCCACCGCCGACGACGACGACTCCGTCTTCTGAATCACTAGCGAGTCCACAGCCAACGGCATTTTCTCCTGGTCCGGGCTGCACTTGTACGGTTGGGTAGGCGGGTGGCTACTGTAGAGTACGGCGCGTAGAACAGCGGACACCGTAGGAATGTAGAGCGTCTTGTTCTTGGCGAGGAGGGCCACGTCAACCCCATGAGCTGCAGTCTCGGTGAACATCTTGGTCGCTCGATCGTGGTGCTCTCCGTATTGATGATGGCTTGCCAGCCCTGAGCTGGGAATTCGCATGGAATTTAGTTTTTTAGTCTAGGCGGTAATTTCGACAAGCTAAACTTATCAACAAAGACTAGCGGTGTAAGACTGTGTAGGAATTTATTGCTTTATTTCTCACGCTAAACTGTGTAGGGAGTTTATTGCTTTATTCTTCACAGCATTTAATTTTGAGAATATACCATAGTTATTGCTAACGGTAATGTGTAGGGTATTTTATTTATTTTTTTCATAGGAAAATAAATAAAATTTGAAATGGCAATTGTATATATTTTTGATAAATGGAAAGATACAGTTCTTTTAAGAAATTAATGGGGAAAATGCAGCAATTGTTTCTACTGTGGCACGATAAATAAATGTCTGTTATAAGAAATGGGTATTAAGTAACATTTGATCTTCAGAAAGATAAAGGGTTATTGATGAGCAAATATCATTAAATCAGACAAAAGAAACAACTCATAACTGAAAATTACAAATTAAAAAAAAAAGAACAAAGAGAAAGGAACAAATTGAGGCGTAAAGTATCACTGAAATAAACAAATATCATTCCAGATCTAATTCATCACTCACCCGTGATATTTTATTTGAAGAAAAAAACGCATTTTTTTTTTAATTTAGAAGAAGAAAATAAAGGGAGTTGGGGGATGTAAAAAAATTACGAAAATGACACTGATAGGAACAGCCACTTACCTTCTCAAGCGACTGCAGGCAGCGCGTACACCCAGCGTACGAAGAATTCCTACAATCCTTCTCCAAGTCCTTCACCACCGGCAACGGCGTGGCCAGCATAACATTCTTCTTATTCTCACCCGCTTTCCACTAAACATTCAGCTTATTGCGCACCGCAGCGGCGCCGCGCCGGCCGCGCCTGCCGCCGGTAACATTAAACACTCCCTAGAACAACTCAAGAGACCCAAGCTGATGAAGCCTAATCCCGACAAAAAGCCACAAACAATATCGACAAGTCGCGTTGCCTCGGCAGCCTCACATTCCTCTTCTCAAGGCGAAAGTCGTGGAAGCGAGTCGGAGACGCACTTACTGAGAGTCGTCAGGCGGATGAGAGGGAGGTCGTCGGAGGAGGCGGTGAGGATAGCCGCCGGGGAGGCGAGGGGAGGCAGGGAGAGGCGGAGCGTGGTTGGCGGCGAAGAAGGCCAGGCGGCGAGGACGTGAGCAGCAAGCGGTGTTGCGTCGGAGGGAGGAGCAGGCGGAGGAGACGCCCGGCGAAGAGCTCGGAGGAGAGGTCGAGGGGGCGGTGAGGTTTACCGGTCGAAGAGGGGGATTGGATGGTGGGAATGAGGGGATGCCGGGGGTCGTTGTGAGGTGGTGAGGTTACCGGGGTGAGGAGAGGGTTTGTTGGTCGGAGTAGAGAGAGAGGGAGGGTGGGATGAGAGGAGGAGCGTGATGATGGCGGTATCATTTTGCAGAGGGAGAGGGGAGACAGATCAGCGAAATAGTCGAGAGGGACACATAGAGATAAAAGATGGCTTTTATTGAGGCTCTCATAAGAGTGGAAAAGGGGTGGGCGCCGGGTGGGGCGGGTGGGTTGAAGGGGGATGAAAGAAAGTTAAGGAGATGGATAGAGTTTGGGAGGAAGGCCTGTTTAAAGTGAGAGGGGGTGTAATAAAATAGGGTTCTTCTTTTGTTTTAATAATCCCCAAATCTTTAATGTTTTGATATTGGGGCCTATTTGGTTAAAAAAAATTAGGTGGAAAACACATGGAAGACTACTGACATGGTTTCTGGCTGTTTGGTTCACAAGAAAGCAATTGAGAAAACTTTTCATAAATGTAACTGTTAATGTATGGAATCACACAGTCGAATAAAAGTAGTAGATTAAGTTGACAAAGGTCTTCTAATTCTCCGAACATTTA